CATCTCAGAGCAGAGTTGTGTGCACAATGTTGCACGATGCGAGGGTGAGAACTGCCTGATGTGGCGTTTTGGGCATCGGGCGGCTCGACGTACTGAAAGACAAACACGTCTAGTTTTATAACATCGGTGGCGTGATGCGATGCTTCATGACCCTCAATCGATGTGCAACATGTCGGCATGCAGACACCCAAAAGTAAAATCGTTTTGATTGTCTGGAGCACGGGTGTTTGATGTCATACACGACAGAGCTGTGTTCAAGAAAACCCCAAGTATTGTGCACCAGTAAACGCTCTCGGATCTGAACCCTCATAAGAAAAGAGAATCCAGAATTCAAGAGCGAACTTGAATGTTCTCCAGAACCTCTTGGATGGAAGAAGCCTGAGCAGCCGCAGCATGTCGGGGTTTTAATAATGTAACACAGAAAGCTTTTCAGCTGCTTTTTTGAATCGTCTGTCTGGTATGTGTGTGACGATGGAAGAACAGGATTCTGTTTTTATTAATACAGCTGTCGTCGCTGCTCACACACATGGCCGAGGTGTGTTTTTAGCTGTGAGCTATATAATCCTAATTTTTCCTCATTGAACTGCTGTCACGCCATATTTGGTTCTGAACTCCTCCAAAACACATGTGACCGACGCTCATGGGTGTACCTGAACGCCTCCTGCTCTTCTGCTCTGTGTGCAGAGAAGCCTCTAGTCTCCTTGCTCAGGTGTTTGAACAGGAATTACATTGGAAAGTGTGGAATAATGTTTTCCATGAGCGGAGCATGTAAACCATCTGTAGCCGTCATGTTCATTCAATTGCAAAAAGCCAAACTCATGATAGTATTTGACTATTTGTGCAGCACCAGACTTGGTTAGTGGCGTCCTTTATGCAGCAAGTGGCATAAAAATATCCTCTGTTGTTGGCATTTGTGTCCCAGTGGTGTCCTCTGCTGTTCTGGTGATGCAAAGTGAGGCTTGTTGGCTCGGCCTTGGTGCCAGCAGCGTATCGAGCTGTAACATAGTCCGTCACTGGTGCGTTTGGTTTCAAATACACTCCCACACGCTTCCTGCAAAATTCCTTTACTCATGACGTTTCGGTGCTCGACCTTCATTAAGCAAATGGTTTGGTGCAGAGTGAAGTCACGTTACAGAAGGTCGTCGTTCAGTGGAGCTATGTTTGGTGATTCATGCCTTAGTTTGATATTTCTGATGAAGGTCTGGCGCGGAAACGTTGTGAATGAATGTGTTTTTGCTAATTAGAAGATGTGAGGGAGTCATTTTTATACCTTTTGAAATGCTTGTTAACCTGCTTTGCACCTGTCTCGTGAAATAGACGTGTGGGGAGCTGCTTGGTGTGAAGTGGAGCATCTGGAAAAAGTTGACTGGCTGGTTGGTTCTTCCAGGAAGTGAAGGCGCCGTTGTGCCTTGACTGGTCTCGTGATTAATGCAGATGGGGATATCGTCTCCTGAAGGCCACAATAATTTCCTCGGTCTTTTCTAAGTTAAAGACAAAGTTATTCAGAGTGCAGCATGATTGTTACTAACAATTCTGATGACTGTAGCGCCATCTGCAGACTTTACAACGATGTTCTGAATGTATGAAGAGGGAGTAGTGGAGGGGGCTCGACACAGAACCCTGTGGAACGCCGGTGTTGAGGGTGAAAGATGAGTGTTTGCAGAGGTCTGAGGACAGCTGATAAGAAACACCAGCACCCAGATGCATGTGGTGGGTTTCAAGGTCAGACTGTGGAGCTTGGTGTCCAGTTTCCTCGTTATGTCTGCATCAGATGTTGAGCTGTAGCTGATAAAGAGTCGTTTTTGCTTCACAAATAAAGTTGGACTGGATTGGATAATGTGCTTTTGTATGCATCTTGCTTTGTCACATGAGTTTGAATTGTGTGGAAATCCATTCAAACGGCTCGGTAGGCAAACTTGTGCTGACTGAGGGCAGTTCTTGAAATTGAGATGTACGTGAACGATAGGCGTGAGAGCAACAGGTTGATAGCCGTTTAGCCACATCACGGCCGATTTCTTTGCTACCGACACAATGGTGGTGGATTTGAGAAATGAAGGGACAGCACACAGAGGAATTCAGAGGTCGGAGATGTCAGTAAATCCACCTGTAAGCTGGTCAGCGCAGACCTGGCCTGCAGTAAATCAGCGCTTTCCCTGAGCTGATGCTGCGTTGGACCCACCTCATGTTGTGTGTGAGCCGTTTAAGTAGCCGGGAGTCCTCTGGCTGTGAAACACTGACTATGGCTTTATTGTTGTCCTTGTCAGACCTGGCAAAGAAACTGCTGAGTTTCTCAGCCATCCTGGCACCGCTGTTGGTGGATTTAGGCAGTAAATTTCTGCGTTGCTATTTATAGCCTGTGATGCAGCGAATGGTGCGATGCTACGGCCGTGGATTGGAGTTTTTGTTGAAACTGGAAACTGGTGGTTTTTGGCAGCCCCGGTGCTTCTCTTTACTTTGGCTGTAGCTGCACTGTAAGTGGCAGCACCAATAGACTTAAAGGCCGTATTCCAAAATTGCACTTACATATTAATAAATTGTTTTCCTGCCACGTAGTTGATGCAAAGCTTTCATAACCTCGCAGCCTGTCCGTGGTTAGGTTTACCAAAAGCAGAACTTTGGGTAAGACTGTAGATCAGGGGTGTCCAATCCTGGTCCTCGAGGGCCGCAATCCTGCATGTTTTAGATGTTTCCCTCTTCCAACACACCTGATTCAAATGATCAGCTCATCATCAAGCTCTACAGAAGCCTGATAACGATCCTGATCATTTGAATCAGGTGTGTTGGAAGAAGGGAAACATCTAAAACATGCAGGATTGCGGCCCTCGAGGACCGGATGTCGACACCCCTGCTGTAGATGTTTAAAGTCAGCGTGGACTTTTTCTGGACTGAACCAGACTCTAGTCTTTCTCAACCAAGCGCCTCAACAAAACATCAAAACAGTGAAATAATACTGCAGTCATCACAAGTGGAAGTCGTCCTGCACCATCTGATGTTTTGGGGGATTGTTGTCTGTGAACATTTTACTGATAGATTCAGTAAAAAACATTAATTAAAAACATTTCCTCGTTATGTAAATGGAAAGCATAATTCAGTTTCAGTTTCGCTTCCTTAAAAATGCGTCCGTCGTCGCTGCAAGTCGTATGTAAACAGAATTTCTAAGTGATGAAGCACTTTGCTGTTTACGATTGGCGGCTGTTGGTTTGTTATCATTCATGAGGTGGTTCTCTGCAGAAACTCCTGCTTCTTCTTCTTCTAACTTTACAACGATCCAGTACAACATTAAAGCCGTCTACGTAATGGTGTGCCGGCGCTCGAGCTGGTTTTGTGGATCTTTTGGGTTCTGTGACCTGTTCTTGTGCCACAGATGGGATCTGAGGAGTTTGTTAACCATGCTTTTGGATATTCATCATGTTTCTCAATCGCTTCCTGAGCAGTTTTTTGCAGCGTGGCGGACCGCGTTGCCCTGCTGGGGGCGGCCGCTGGTGTTCGGCCATGAGGGGATGTGCTTGGTCAAACACAAAATAGTGCTTAAGCTCAACAAAAGAAAACAACACAACGCAAGTCTGTGTAAGTTATAATGAAGTTATGTTCAAACCTGTTGACTCAGAATCAAAATGCTAAACTTAAAGTGGAGCAAAAGTAGTCAACTTAACTCAACTTGAATTCACTTTTAAATCAATTAATGCAGATATTTGAGTCTAAATTACTCAGAATATGATGCATTTACCATCATTATGTCAAACCAACCCGTCGACATGAAGTCTGCAACTTTAGAGGTTTATCTGAATCACTAAATGGCCTTTATAGTAAATAAAATGGTTGGAATAGGCCCGTCGAGCTGCTTTTTTACCAGCATTTAGTTATTATCTGTTGAAGTGACTCCACATGAACGTGGGGACTCGAGGTTTGTCGGCAGAACGCCGCATCGTAATGAGATTATCGATGTTACTCACTTCACCTGTCGCTGGTTTTAATATCGTGACTGATTCAGAGCGTTGATCCTCTGCTACAGACGTATTTATAGCGTTTTAAATATAGTCAGCTGTTTTCCTAAATTGTTTATCAGATTTGTTTTGCTTTGACTCCCTGTTTGTGTTTGTGTCCGTGTTTCCCTGCAGCCTCCGGCATGCATATGTGTGTGTGTGTGTGTGTGTGTGTGTGTGTGTGTGTGTCGGCTTCAGCACATAGAAAATATTGCGCTGGGGACCGTCATAACTAGCAGCCACCGCCGGCAATCTGCCCAGCGCTGCCATTGTAATGATCATTTAAAATAAAGCAAAGCCGCGCAGGGCTTAGCATCAGCTGCAACAATGGATGCTTCCCCCCCAAAGCAAAGTCAGAGATGTTATTACTGTAGTTTTTCAAATCAAAGTAGCACAGAGCTAGAAAGAATCCATTTTTCATTCTTCAGGCGGAGATATTGTTTGTGAAACAAGGAAGTGCAGCAATCTAAGTGGGGGCTGATGACCGATGACGGCTGCGACCAATTTTTCTCGGCCCACGGGCTTGCTGAGCTGCAGTTTCCTCGGTCACTCGGTTCTGTTTAATCCCGCGGACACACATTAAACGGGTTTGGTCCACTCCCTGCCGCACGGTGCCACTCATTAAACATTACACCAAAACACTCGAGAAAGAAGAATTAGAGGGCGTCTGGTCTGTGTTTGTGGGCGAAAACTAAAGGAAAAGCAGAATATCCGCTGCCTGAACGGAGCGTGATGACACGGCGGGCTTTAATACGTGTTTTTATGCAAGTGTTCAGGTTTATTTGTTGTGTGATGTCTTGTAGAGATAAACTAATCACGTCATTCAGAAAAAATCCGATTGGAGGAAACAGGAAATACAGTTTTGTTTACATCCAACCAGTTTGTTCTCGTCCTGCTTCTTCATGAGTCGGTTCGTCCTGATCATTTTCAGCCTCTTGTGTTTTATTCTGACTAAATTTCTTCGATGCGTCGCGGCGGCAGAAGTAACCTGCGTGTCCTTGTCTTTGTGTCGCCCAGTTGTGAGTCAGAACCTGGTGACAGACAACGTGTCCGTGGTGGAGGGAGAGATGGCCATCATCAGCTGTCGGGTCAAGAACAACGACGACTCCGTCATCCAGCTGCTCAACCCCTACAGACAGACAATCTTCTTCAGAGACATGAGGCGTGAGTATTGCATACGTTTGTAGCTGTCAGTGAATCTGCTTTGTTTCGAGCTAATAATACACGTTTCTTGTCCATCTCAACTTAACTGTCACTTTCTCTACAACTTGCCAACGACTACACAACTCCTTCAGGTCGACACGACTCTTGTTGCTTTGTCTTGTCACTGGGTCACAGTTAGTTCTCCTATATATTATTATTGTTATACTCTGAGAGACAAACACAATGAACTTAAGCTCATTTGGAACATTCAGGGTCTGCGTCGAGCGCATCCATTAACCCTCAGACTTCACGTCCCTCTTGACGAACAAAACCGTTTGACCTTTCCAACAATGCCTCGTCTTTGTGAGAAAGTGTTGGCGAGAAAAGTAATGTTGATTTACATCTAATTTAACCGTGCGTGCTTTCATGAAGCTCCGCATTACTCATGTTTGAATTAGTCATTGCGTAGATATGTTAACGTCTAGATATGTTAATGCCCACTGCGTAGACATGAACAGATCTGTTCAGCAGTGGAATGAGTTGATTATTGTTTCATTAAAATCAAGTATTTTCTATCGTAGGTGTTTATTTATTTATTCATTTTGGTGACTTACAGTCAACAGGTGTTTCTCGTGTACAGCAAACTCTGAATTATCAGTCAAACTCGCGCGCTGCTCCGTCAATTAGTCTCCAGATTTGCTGCCTCTCGACTCCAATTAGCGTCCGCTGATGTCATTAATCCGCAGGTTCGCGATCGACGGCGTCGAGAGGTAAAGTGATTGTGCTCGTTGGTATCTGTGACTCGATGATGAAGATGGGCGCCGTGGTCTTAACACAGACGTATACGTTGCTGTAGATTGTTCCAGAGTTCACTCCCTCAGTCCTGCCAGTGCATAAACACAGTCAGTTTAATTGTAATTAGCTTCTGCGATGTGGCTGCCGGGTTGAGCTAATTATCTCAGAGCAACGTCTGGACACGGGAGCTTCTCAGGTTTCTCCTGTTTTATCGACATCGGCGAGAGGACTGGAAGGAAGCTTAAACAGCAAAACATTTTCAGCCTCTTATTAGAGCGCATCAGAGGAAAATGGGGTCACAATTTTGTGTTGCTAAATAATATCTTGGCTGTTGGAGGAGTCATTATATGCATCCAAAGGTGTCTCAACCCTGTCCAGCTGCTTTGTGGCGACTTGTTTAAGTTTTAGTTCTGCTGAGAGCCAAGGCGGGTCATACCTCATTTTCTACTTTTTGAGAAAAAAAACTGATTCCAGGTTCGTCTTGTTTACATCATAAGAAACTAGAGATACTTTTGAGGACCACGGGGTAGAAACAGATGCTTGGTGGTGGTGAATTAAGTTTTTATTTTACCTACGAGTTAAGTTTTCACGGGGCTGGAGGTCGCGCTGTCCGCCATCTTGAATCGCAACCACCTGCAGCCGCGATATAACGGTCAGCGATTCCCGTGGCTTGGTCCAGTTTGGCACTACATCATCATGTCAGTACCATCGTGGGCCAAACTTCCAAGCTGCATCTAGTGGACTGTTGGTTGGACCACGAGTAGACCATAAATACTTATAAAAAAAAACATAAAACTCAACTTTAGATTCTTCACTTTGGCTCTGAACCCCTCAATAAAAGTGTAATCGTTGTGTTTTGACCTGTCGTTCTGCTGTCGGCGTGACTTTACACAGACATAAATGTGTAATCTACTATGATCAGAGAGCAGACAGGAAGGTGCAGCCTATCAGAGACACCTTCAGCACTTTGTGACCAATATCAACTGTGTTCCATTATGGTGTGAAGCGCTTCGATACGGTCAGACGACATGCAAATCAATGTCAGCGATGCATTTATCTATTAAATTTATATTGGCTCATTTTGCATGCAGTCGTAAAATTAGGCGGGTATTTATTATTTATGAGTTTAGTTGGAACATAAAACTGATAAATCATAAGCTGTGTGCTTTAACCATGTGGGCTGAGGCGGCGGCGGCGGAGCTGCATGACGTTAATTAATATTCTGTTACTTTACTTGCACTTCCAGAGAGCTGCATTAAGTTTGACCCACATGTCTGCAGCCAGATTAATAAAGAACGAGGTTAACACAATCCACCAAACATGTTTAGCTTTCAGCGTGTCTGCTTTAATAAAAGCAGCTCATATCCCTAAACATTTAATGACCCGGGTGTTTATTCTTATCCTGCCCAATTATCGTGTCACAGCTCTAATTAGCTGTGTTTAGCTGCACATACACTCTTCTTTTCCTCTCTTCTTGCCAGATTCTGGCTTCTTTAATTATGTTTTTTAAGCCCCCGTGCGCAGAATATTGACCTCCTCATAGCACACTGTTGACCTCTGTGGCTATATTACAGTAAAATTATGTTGTAAGTTCAAAATATGCAGAAAAAAAACAGACGCCTGCTGATGCCTTAGTTATTTCAGTGCATTGTTTATTTCCCTCTCAGCAGTTTGCATCGTTTTTAACGCCCTGTCCTCCAAAATGCACGTTCGTATGCAGTTTGCATGAGCAGCTTTATAGACGCAGGTTTAAAGCTGCAGTAGGAATAAAAAGGAATCAAGCAAACATATATTTCTAGCGTGCAAATATCATCCAGATAAAAAGACAACATTCATTCTGGCTCCAGTCTCCTGTGTAGAAGTCGTCCATCTACCCCACAGCACCACCAGCACCACCAGCACCTCCTGCTCTCACTGTGGACTTGATATTTATACTGTCTCACCTGATCTGACTGAAATTATACGACAGATTTTCAGATCCAAGAGGATGTGCAGGAATCTAGTTTCCTCTCAGACTACTTTAATTACAAAGTACTGGAAGACTGTGTAGAATTATTTGCTCAGAGATGCCAAACAAACACACAGCCTCCATCGGCTTTAATGAAACAAAGGTCACATGCAGCATATCTGCAAAACGTCCACACTTACCTGTAAGATCTGCTCCTTGCAGCTACGCTTTGGTTAATGTTTGCATCGTTTTATGCAGGCAGCTAAAACCAAAGTAGTTCATTGGGTTTAGGCAGAGACTGTGGCCTCAACTCCACTCGTTAAGGAATTTATAAGAACTAAAAATCAACTAAAAACGATATTAATTATTTGTCGGGTCCTCGCGGTACAACTGTCGGCCTTCGCGCATGTGAGGTTGTGGTGCAAACGTGCTCCAGGTGGGACTCTGATCCGGCATGTCGAGTTTGGGGCAGATCGGAGCACGTGCAGCCGAGTTACGAGCCACTTCCTGTTTAGTGCCGAGCCACGGTGGCGTGGCGTGGCGTGGCGTGGCGTGACATGACATGACATGACATGACATGACGTGGCGTGACATGACGTGGCGTGCCGTGGCGTGGCGTACTGGTAACGCGCTCTGGCTGAGGCTTGGAGCACGCGTGTACAGTTTGAGGAAGATCGAAGCACACACAGGCCAGTTACTCAGCACGTCTCGTATTCTGGTGTTTTTTGGCATTTTGGCGAAATTCTACAGGCCGCCAGTTTGACGCCGTCAGACTTTTGTGGAGTGTTTTAATAACTTTTAATCACCACGTCCTGTATTTTATGCTGGCCAAATTTCAGGTGTGTACGACTTTCCTCCTAGGAGGAGACACATTTTGGCCAAAAATGGCAGATTTTCGGCCAAAAGCAGCCTTTTTTTTTTTTTTCAAAATGGCCGACTTCCTGTTGAGTTTCGGGTATGTGTTCTTGAGGCTTTTTTGTGCGTGTCGGCATTTTACATGTGTGTGCCGAATTTTGCGGCTCTACGTGAAAGTGTGTTCCGGGGGCCCATGTTTTGTAATTTTGTAGGGGGCGCTGTTGAGCCATTTTTCTATTGAGGTGAGTATTTCCCCCTCGTTATAAAATGTTTCACCAGGTCTGATGTGTGTGCCGAGATCTGTGCATGTGCGAGTACATTTAGGACCTCAGTAACAGGTTTCTTTGTAGGGAGTAATAATAAAAACCCGAGCAGTTCCTGTTAGCGCTCGGACCCGAACTAGAACCGAATGTTTTATTGGACTTACAGACCAGCAGGTATGAACTACAGTTTCTGGACTTTCACTTCTAGACACAGACCTGTTGCTGGAGTCGGTTCCTTCTCTGAACCTCGAGCACTTTCTGGATGTTCTTTTGCTTCATTTTTCACTGCAGCATAAAGTCCAGCTCCTCAGTGGAAGCTGCTCGTCCATCGCTGGAAGTAGAGAGAAGTCAGAAGCGCCTGCAGGTGTTACCGGCACTGGGGAAAAAACAAATATTGTTTCCACATACCATAGATATTATGCTGCTTATATTTTATATCTGTTTCCATACTTGTGTAGGAACACAGTTGTTGTCATGTCGAGGCGGCGGTTAATGAGAGCAGCAGGATGAACGTGTCAGATGCTGAACATGAGCTAATTGCAACGTACCTGATGAACACGATGGGAGGCTTGAGCGGCTCCGTCTCTCTCAGTCTGACCCACAGCTAACTCCGACGTGTGAGCGTCGAGCTAACCTTTCTCCCACACGCTGGCGCCGAACAAAGACGCACTCTCCATCATTTGAGGAAAAGCCAAGAGAGAGTCTGAACAGAAACGCTGTGTTTTTTTAATGGAGTCGTTACATCCCATAATGCTGCCAGTTAACATTAATGAACCCGATTCTGGCAATCAAGCACGTGGTGAGTAATTTCCACAAAAGAGTTGCCATCGAGTTTTGAGACGTGAATCCTGGAACCTGATCCGGTGAACCGTGAGGATCATTGGTGGGAACCAACGCGGGGATGTTGCCATGCTAACAGGAGGCGAGTGCAAGATCTCTGAGAGAAAGCGTTGTTTGAAAAGAAAAGAAACTGGAACAAAACGGGAGAGTGAACACTGGAAGGTGGACACAACTTAGAACAACACTAATGATGCTTCTTGTCTTTTAGATGTGACAGTAGACGCTAACATGTTGGTCATAAGAGCTGAAGAGATGCTAGAACACGTGTATCTAGTTCCTCATCTGTAGCTCTTAAGCAATATACATGAAAAGCAGTAAAA